AATCATGAAAAACTAGGAGGTGTGTAAAAAATACAGCATTTAAACCTCATAATTAAACAGAAAATTGTGCGAATAGCTGCAAAAAGATCCCCTTTTTGTGGAAAAAAAAAGAACCACCCCTTTCACCAGTCTGGCTACAGGCCTCAATGATCTCCTTAACACACGTCTGCACAGAATACAGTAAAATTCCTCCTCTGACATCCACCGCTGACGCAGAGCAGAGCCGCTGTAAATTGCAGTGTGTGCAGGATGTCAGCAGGGCTACCTGTTATTATTATTTCTCCACGCGGGCAGACCGAGAGCGGACGCATGGCCTCACATCTCACACACAGCCAAGTGCAGACAAGACTGCGCTCCAGATAAGAGTCGTAAATCTCAGCCTAGGACAGTTCAGATGCTATCAGCCAGTCAGTGGTCAACTACCCAACAGAGCAGCATGACAGCAATCATCCATAATGCCAACATACACACTCATTATAGCGTTCACGGAGAGACAAGCTATAAATACAGGAAAACAGAGATACAATCAGGCTAATAATTGAGTCAGTGATGCTGAACAGAGTACACCAGCCCTAAGCTATCAGACGCACATTTTTTAAAATGGTGATCAGCATGTTGACGTTAACTATCTAGTGTTGTCTTATAATTCCGTGTACACTATTACGTCCTTCGGGTCAAAAGGACCCGCCTTCACTAAACCTCTAAAATAAAGATGAAAGATTTAACTTCAATCCTCAAATCTTTCATTTATTCATTTTCTTGTCGGCTTAGTCCCTTTATTAATCCGGGGTTGCCACAGCGGAATGAACCGCCAACTTTCCCAGCATGTCTTTACGCAGCAGATGCCCTTCCAGCTGCAACCCATCTCTGGGAAACATCCACACACACACACACACTCATACACTACAGACAATTTAGCCTACCCAATTCACCTGTACCGCATGTGTTTGGACTGTGGGGGAAACCGGAGCACACCCACGCGAAGGCAGGGAGAACATGCAAACTCCACACAGACACGCCAACTGAGCCAAGCCGAGGTTCGAACCAGTGACCTTCTTGCTGTGAGGCGACAGCACTACCTACTGCGCCAGCTGCCTCGTTCAATCCTCAAATCTGTTCAGTATAAAGAAACAAGCTGATCTTCATCACACACTTGCTGATAGTTTGGGGGTTTTTGGGAGACTTTTCCTCATCAGTGTGCAGCAGTGTTCACTCAGTGGACAACACTCCACTCTCACTACAGTAAAGGGGGTGTTTTATTATAAGTATTTAGCATAACAGTATTAGTTAATGCAGGAGATTCTTATTGAGTGTGTGTGTACGTGTTTTTGTGACATATCAGGACACAGATCTGTATAATGGCATGGGTATGACACAGGTTTTACAAAAAGGAGGTGAAATATGAGGATATTAGTGACGTCCTCATTTCTCAAAAAGCTTATAAATCCCACAGTATGAGTTTAATCAGAGAGTAAAGCTGAACACTGACTCCTGTGATGGTTGGGTTTAGGAGTAGGGTGGGATGAGGGCAATATAATATACGGTTTGGACAGTATAAAATGAATGGAAACCTATGTAATGTCCCCACTTTTCACAAAAACAAACCTGTGTGTGTGTGTGTCCGCGCACAGCAGATGGTCTCACTAATGTTGGCTTTTGACCCTGTGGTTGTAATGAGGGCTGAGAGTCTGCTGTTTCCATCATGGAGTCTCTGGGCACACAGATTCGGGCTGAGAGGTTAATCAATTCATTTCATAATTATGTGATTAGTAACGCATGCAGAGAAACATCCGATCATTTCCTCACTGCGTAAATCATTTAACACCAATTAATCATTTCAGTCTGAGGATGATGGATTATGATTTGATCAATACACAACCAACGAGACATTTCGACTCATACCAATGAACTTGCCATCACAGGGGCGGACTGGCCATCTGGCAATTCTGGCAAATGCCAAAAGGGCCGGACCTTTAATTTTAAAATGTGGTCCGGTGTGCTATTTTTAAATTTATATATGTATTGTTTATACATGCAGGCAGCTTTCATCTCTTGCAAGAAGTGAATATGATGATGATAATAGTAATGATAATAATAAATGTTAAGCATTGGCCCATTCGACAGTGGCCGGCTGGTTTCGAGAGGGGCCGACCCAATCAGAGGTTACGTGGACGTAATCAAAATCTGGCAATAATGTCAAACAAACAGTAAGTGCAGTAAGTGCAGCACAAGCTAATTGTCAGAGATGGACTGTAAAAAAGGAAAGGTGGTGCCAAAAAGCTCAGAGAAAGCAAAAGATTGCTCTAAAATCAGACGCTGCCAATTGCATAAAATTAACTGAAATAGTCTCGAAAGGGGGCAGCACAGTGGGTAGCACTGTCGCCTCACAGCAAGAAGGTCAATGGTTCGAGCCTTGGCTGGGTCAGTTGGTGTTTTGGTGTGGAGTTTGCTCCCGGTTTCACTCACAAGTCCAAACACGAGCTATAGGTGAATTGGGTTACACATATGGGTAACACACACATGCTGAAAAAGTTAGTGGTTCATTCTGCTGTGGCGATCTCAGATTAATAAAGGGACTAAGCCAAAAAGAAAATGAATGAATGAAATGATTGATGTATAAATTTGTTATAAATGGGTTGTTTTTGTAGTAAATGTGCGCGTCCGTGGATAGGGCTGTGTCGGTGTGGTAATATGGGCTGGTGTGGCTACAGTGCCAGGGCTGATTTTTAGTCCCAGTCCGCCCCTGTGCCATCATATATGCAGTTGAAGTCAGAATGATTCGCCCTGCTGTGAATCTGTTTACATTTTTCTAATATTTCCCAAATGATGTTGAACAGATTCAGGAGTTGTTCACAGTGTTTCCTCTAATATTTGTTCTTCTGGAGATAGTCTTATTTGTTTTATTTCAGCTAGAATAAAAGCAGTTTTGTAACTGTTTTTAAGCTCAATATTATTGGCCCCTTCAGCAATATTAGTGTTGGATTGTCTCCAGAACAAACCACTGTTATACAATGACTTGCCTAATTACCCTAACTTTATCCTGATTACCCTAGTAAAGCCTTTACATGTCACTGAAGCATATGAATCTCCACCGCTAGAACAGTTCCAACCCAGACTCATTCTGAAAATGAATGAACTCATTCTGATAATGTACCACTATATACATTTCTGGAGAGCAGCAAATACGTCCCAGGAGCTACGTTGTTTCTCAGGTTTTGTTTTTGCGTATGCACCAGAGGCCGCTGTGTACGCTTTTACAGATCTCAAATTTCCCTCAGGACTTCTTTTTCCTGTGTCAAACTGACCAGCTAATGCACGTGTTTGTGTGTGGAGTAGCTGTGTTAGCATGTCAGTGTGTGTTAGCACGAGTGTCTGTGGGTGGCAAACTCGGCACAGTTGCTTTGAGAATCTGACCTGGACGGGGTTAAAGGTCAACCGTTTATAAGGCAATAGGTTAGTTAGTGTTTTAAATAGGGCAGGAGCTCCCCACCCCCCACCTGCTCCACATACACACCTGACGCGCACACACACACACACACACATATTTGTGCAGGGGCATAGTGGACATTTTAAAAGTGGGGCATCCAAAATTTAGCGTTCATATATTTATTAATCACCTGTTTCTAAATAGTTTGTCTCTAAAAGTGAGGGGGACGTATCCCATGTGCATCTGTGCTTGTGTGTATTTGCGTGTCAGTTTGTGGGCATGCATGTGTTTTTGTGTGTATGCGTGTGTGCATTTGCATTTGTTTGTGAGTGTGTGCGTTTGTATGCGTGTGTGCATGTGGGAGTGTGCGTGCATCTGTGTGAATGTGTGTATTAGTTTGTGTGCATGCTTGCTGGAGTGAGTTTGTGTGTGTACATATGTGGCCGTGCTCTTGTGCGTGTGCATGTGTGTCAGTTTGTGTGCGAGCGTGCATGTGTTTGTGGGTGTGCGTGCTTGTGTTTGGTGTGTTTTATGAGGGTGTGTGTGTGTGTGCATTTGTGTGTTTAGGTTTGTGTGTGTGCGCATGTATGTATGCAAGTACATATATAGGTGTACTTTTGTTTTTGTGTGTATCAGATTGTGTGTGTGTGTGTGTATATGTGTGGTGGCAGCACGGTGGCACAGTGGGTAGTACAATCGCCTCACATAAAGAAGGTTGCTGGTTTGAATCTCGGCTGGATCAGTTGGCGTTTCTGTGTGGAGTTTGCATGTTCTCCCTGTGTTGGCCTGGGTTTCCTCCACAGTCCAAACACATGTGATATAGGGGAATTGATGAACTAAACTGGGCGTAG